TCTTCTCTTAGTGATTCTTTATCACTGAGTCCCCCAAGGCTCTGTCCTTGGACCCCTTCTCTTCTGTATCTACACCTCCTCCCTTGGTCAGTTAATAACCTCACATGGCTTCCAGTACCATCTCTATCCCGATGACACTCAAATAAATCTTTCTACTCCGCAACTCACTCCCTCAGCGTCCTTGCGTGTCACTATTCTACTAATTGACATATCCCTCTGGATGTCACAACACTTCTTAAAACTGAAAGTTTCAAAAATGAGATTGTTATCACAACTATCCAGCCCTCCACACATGTCAAGGTCCTGGGTGTCATCCTTGTGTTGGACCTCACCTTTCTTCCTTTCTTCCCCACATCCAATCACTATTTAAATCCTGCCGCCTTCATCTTTGTAACATCTCCAAAATATGCCCCTTCCTCACCAATGAAACCGCTAAATTGCTCATCCACTCACTTGTTATATCTTGTCTTGACTATTGCTACTCCCTCCTCATTGGCCTACCTCTAAACAGGCTATACCCCTTCAATCTATCATGAATGCAGCTGCTAGACTCATCCACCTAACCAACCGCTCAGTGTCTGCAACCCCCCTCATTCAATCCCTACACTGACTTCCAATAGCCCAAAGGATAAAATTCTAAATATTAACAATCGCTTACAAAGCCATCCACAACACTGCCCCTGGCTATATCTCAAACCTGGTCTCAAAGTATCACCCTAACCGTCCCCTCCGCTCTTCAACAGACCTCCTGCTGTCCAGCTCCCTCATCAACTCCTCCCATGCTCGCCTCCAGGACTTCACTAGAGTCTCTCCCATGCTATGGAACTCTCTACCCCAACCTGTCCGTCTATCTCCCACTCTGACTGCCTTTAGGCGATCCCTTAAGGCTCATCTCTTCAGGGAAGCCTATCCCACCTCAACCTAACCACTGAACTATCACTTTCTCAAAGAATTCATCCCCACACAGCTACCTCCACATGTATCACTTGTTCCTCCCTTTTAGATTGCAAGCCCTCACGGGCAGGGCCCTCTTTACCATCTTGTCTTGAATTGTATTGTGATTGTAATGTCTTCGTTATTTTGTAAAGCGAAGCACAAACTGTTGGCGCTATATAAATCCTGTATAGTAATAATAATCTGTGGGTGTCTTCCCAAACACACAGCCACTCCTCTGCTTCTTGAGCCTCCCTTCTCCAAGCTAGTAGATGGACAGCTGCTGGAGACTGTGTTACCCCTTGTGATCTTTTACTCGACATGAAGTTCAGGGAAGCCGAGCTAAAAGAGTGCTTGGGGAAAAAAATTAAAGCAGAACTCTGGGGAAAAATTCTAAACCCTTCCTGTAGGGCTACCCCCGCACTGCAAGGGTTAAGTGCTTGTTTGTATCTAAGTTCATTCACCCGAACCTCAGTTCCAGCTGGCTGTGAGAGTGCTCCCTCCAGGCTCTTACCTCCAACATTGAAACCATAGCATATCCGTTGGTGTCCTCATGTCCATTACACTGTATAGAATGTGATGAGTCAAGGATCGTTAGACTACTGCAGCGGAGAATAAAAAAAAATATGTTTTAACTAGGGCTGGTAATGATTAAAATTTTAATGTTCGATTAATTAAAAACATTTTCCAATCGATTAATTTCGATTAATTATAACGCACATACAGATCCAACTACATTGGCCTATACACATACAGCACAGCAATGAAGTCATAAAATGTACTAGGATCACACTAATCCAGCACGTTATAAATCTCATGTGCTCCACTCAATATGGCCGCGGCTTGAGTGGGGCAACTCAGAATATTAACGTGCTGGATTAGTGTGATCCTAGTTCATTTTATTACTTCATTGCTGTATGTGTATAGGCCAATGCCTTGGCTGGCGCTCGTGCAGAAAGTTTCTTGGGCAAACTCACCGGCCCAAGTGGCCCCGTCGGCTAACGAAGGGGGGAGAAGTCCGGTGACGTCACGGACATCGGCGTCACCGGACTCCTCCCCCCTTCGTTAGCCGTCACGGACATCGACGACACCGGACTCCTCCCCCTTTCCCTTCGTTAGCCGACTGAGCCACTTGGGGAAGGGGTGAGGAGTCCGGTGACGTCGATGTCCGTGACGTCATCAGATCGCCGACGGGACTCCCGGAAGCCGGCGGAGAGGTGAGTGTTTTCATTAGCGATCAAAATAGCGATCTATAATAATTTTAATCAATCAAAAAGTTTAAGGATTAATCGAGAAATTAATCTTTAATTTCCACAGCCCTAGTTTTAACCTAGACACAAATGAGCATGTAACCCTTGGAGTGCTGGGGTAGCACAATGCAAAGGTTAAGAATTTTTCCACGGAGTTCTGCTTTAAATAAATTCTTTGTTGGGCAATGTATATTTGTGTGATCTGGATTTGTAATTGGAAAAACAGTTTGAAAGTTTAATACTACTTTAAGTTAGTAATGATATGAAACATTTCAGATATAAACCCTAAGGCATAGTGCTTGCTCTCAGGAATACTATGAAGGTATTAATAGGGGGCCTTTCTAGAATCTGCAGATCACAGCTGAAGATCTCAAAGTTCACAGTCACAGCCAAGGTATATAACACTTTGAAATTATCAGTGTGGGACTGTAACAGCGTATTTTACAACTGATTTTACTCTTTCATCACCATTTTCATTTTGTGATCTTTTCTGCAACAATGTTATTCTATTTATTCTCATTTCTTTTAACTTTTTTTTTCTTTCATTTAAAATTAAATCATTAACAGGGTTATTCACAAAAGGGTGAAGACTTTGGTAAAGGCAGGAGAAGTGAACAATCTGGGCCAAGATAGCTCTCCAAACTCTTCACCCTTTTCTTAATAGCCCTGTAAGAATTTCAATACTTACAGTATGAAAGTGCAATACTAATCAGATTAGTAATTTTAGAAGATTCCAGTCAACAGAAACATTTAGGTCTGTAATGCTCACATTTTTATATTTCCAGATATACATTTTCTTCCTCCATATTCTGTAGCTTATGGGGTAATGTAAACTCTTGATATATTTTACACCTACAGCTTCAAACATTAACACCAGTGTAAAGTGCAAATACAGACACAGAGGGGAAATTTCAAGAAACTGGAGAAATTGTCCATAGTAACCAAAATCGTAGAAGACAGAGATTACCAGCACGCAGTGGAAAAAAAATTAGATTCTTATGCTTATTTATTGAACAAACATTTCACACGCATCATTTAGCCATTTAGCCACACAAAGTCCCTTCAGGGCGACATAGTGGTGACATAGTAATATAGGTCACTATGTCGCCCTAAAGAAGGGACCCTGCAAGGCCTCGAAACGTTGGCACCATCTGCAAGAGCAACCTGGAGACTCTAATAAATGGTATTTGGTTCTGCAAGAAGACAGCTATATTCTCCACATGCCTACATCATTAGTTGAATTTTACTTGTAATACAGGCAACCATTTCTGAGTAAGTACTTCAAGTCCTGTTAAAGTGACACTAAACTCAGGAGTTAAAGCTTTAAAATGCATTCAAGTATCCTGACTCTTAACAAAAATGTATCTTATTTGTGTGTCACTCAGCTGTAGATCCTCAAATCATCCCTGAGTTCATGCTGACACTATCCGTCCTTCAGGAGGGTGGCTACTTCTGTTCCCCATGCTGCCTGTGTGTTTTAAAATAGTCACCTTTCCAGGCTCTCTCCCATGATGGACTATAACTTCAATACAAATAAGTAAACTAAACATGACATTGTAGTCCATCATGGGAGTGAGCTTGGAGTGGTGGCTACTTTACAACACACACAGGGACCATGGGGAACAAAAGTAGCCATCCTCCAGAAGGAAGGATAGTGTTAGTACCACTTGATTTGAGGATCTACAGCCGAGTGATACACAAATAAGATACATTATTGTTAATAGTTATGGTGCTTGAATGTATTTTTAATATTTAACTTCTGAGATTAGTTTCACTTGAAACACTATCTATCACGTGTAATCTAACTTCACTAACATTTAAGCAACAATATAATAAAAATAATATTTATATTAAAAAGTTTAGGAAGTATAAATATTCTTTAAATCTCTCCTTCATAGTCAACCTCTCCTAAATTAACTTACCATCTATCAGACCTACATTGATCAGCAGGTCTGATCGTGTTTAATATCAAACTTCATAGGGTTCACTTACTAAAGGCAAATAGGATTATCACTCTGTAAGGGAATGTTCACTTTACACAAGAGGGTTCCCTCATTTTAGTGAATGAGATAAAGCTGTGTTGACTTCCATCACACAGTCATGTGCGTTTTGCAAATTGAATTTTCACCACATTCACTAAGCTAAGATAAAATTCCCTTTTAAAGTGAAAATCCCCTTGCAAAGAGAAAAACCTGTTTGCCTTTAGTAAATCAACCACCTTTTATTAAAGAATTCCTTGCTCCAAAAGTAATCAGTAACTGATCCACAGATCAGTGAAGAAAAAAAATAATGTTTTTTTACATTTTTCTTGCACATGATTGGGTATATTTTGCAAGACGAATTTTCACCGCATTCACTAAGCTAAGGGAAACATAATATGCGCAAATTCCAACTGAGCCTTCTGGATAGAAAAGTATGCGGGGAGACTCTTCTATTTATAACAAAATGGGGTTTTTATAACAAAAACCCCATGAGTTCCCAATAGCAATAAGTTAGTATTTTTCTTTCTCTCACTCTCTGCCTATAGCAACCCATTAGTATTTTTTTTTTCTCTCAGTCTGTTTCCCATCGTAACCAAATAGCATTTTTCTGTGGCACAGAGCATTTTATTTTACATTTTTGCAATTATATATGTTATTGTTCACTGCAAGTTGACTCATATTTTTTAGGTTTCTTTAGCACTCTATTTTGATTTGGGGTACTAACTATTCCCTACCCTTTAAAAAAAAAAAAAAAAAGGTTTGTCTAAAGATGCATATTAGGATAATTTTTATAAGATTTGTATTAAATATATTTTTCTCCATTATGTTATAAGGAATGGATTTGAGAAATGATACCGTGATTGTAGAGTTTATTCTTCTTGGACTTTCTAGTGATCCAAAAACTCAAGTTATTCTTTTTTTTATCTGTATGCTTGGGTATATGATAATTTGCACCGGAAACATTCTAATCATTATTCTAATTTTAACAGACACCAATCTTCATACACCTATGTATTTCTTTCTTTCAAACCTCTCTTTTCTGGATCTCTGCTTTTCAACTTCAATAGTTCCAAGGATGCTGAAAGATTTGGTGTCGGTAAAGAAAACAATCTCTTATGCAGAGTGCGCAGCACAACTGTACGTGTCACTCTCCTTAGGGCAAACTGAGTGTATTCTGCTATCTATTATGGCATATGATCGTTATGTAGCTATTTGTTTTCCATTACACTACACTACCATCATGAGTAAAATGGTCTGCATGAGATTAGCAGCTTGTACATGGATATGTGGATTCCTTTTTCCCATTTCACAAGTGGCTTTTACTCTTAATGTAAACCTTTGTGGGAACAATGTAATAAATCATTTTCTATGTGAAGTACCGGAAATCTTATCTATGTCTTGTGAAAATACTATCTTTATTGAATGTATCACTTTTGCAGTTGGTGTGATTATACTTATGATTCCTGTCACATTTATTGTAGTGTCATATATTAAAATAATCTTGAGCATCCTTAAAATTGCATCATCGGCTGGACGGAGGAAAGCCTTTTCTACATGTGGATCTCATATGATAGTTGTAACAATATTTTATGGTTCAGCAATAGGTGCCTACATGAAACCTAGGTCAAGTTCAACACCAGAAACAGACAAAGTGATTGCCATATTTTACTGCATAGTAACTCCAATGTTAAATCCTCTAATTTATACCCTTAGAAATAATGATGTTAAATCTTCATTTCTGAAATGTAGACATAGATATTCTTTATGCTAATAATATTAAAGATAGTTATATTAAAATGATTGTAGTTTCATTCTGCATATTTCATTATTTTGCTACTTAACAGTAACCCAACCCAATGCAAACCATGCCAAATTGACCACTAATACCCTAATCCCAAACCTGGTCACTAAAATCTCATATAAGCTTCAACATGTTAATATAACTTTAGTGGTACATTCAATATTTCAAAATCTGCAGTTTTTAATAAAATAATACCTGTTAATCCTGCAATAAAGTTCCCTGTTCAGGCATTTGTTATAGACAAAGAGCACAGATAGGGGTTTTACATGAAGAATTAAAATGCTGCCGAGAATAGAGCAGTCTACAATTGTCCAGCAGCAGGATCATTTTAAATAGCAATTTTAGTCCTACATTTATTAGGGACAAAGAGCATAGGTAGGAGTTTTACTTCACATATACTGCAGAGAATGCAGCTGTAAAATTGCCCAGCAGCAGGAAAATTATAATCTGGAATAATAGGTCTAACTGTTGTATGCCTAACTTATATTATATCTATGGAAATAAGTTGTTTCTGTAAATGTAAGTAATATCATATGAGATGTTATAGGTGCACACTGTTCTTCCACCTAATTTAATTTTTCTTTCAAACAGAGCAACAGCATACTGTGAACAAAAGGCATCTCCAAAAAGAGATGGTCAAAAATAAGTGAATGCAGTGTTTTGAGTGCTCAAAACCTAAATAAGGCCCTATTAATATAAAGTAAATGAAAACCCTAAAATGTCACTACTGAAACAAAACCCTACTTTTATTTTTTTTTTTTAAAGCAGTTTAATGTAAAAATAGCCCTAACAAACATACAGTAAAACAATATATCCCCAAAATAAATGAAAACCCAAAAATACTTTTTCCTGGAAACAAAAGTGAAGTTGCGCAGCAAAAAAAACTGGATAGGACAGCAGCTAAAAGTGACCCCTTACCTTAAATCAACCACACAATATATGTAAAACCTTACATATATCAATTATAATTTTTTTTGTATTTATTCTTTATTCGAAAAACTTTTCCACATACAAAACAGTATTCAAAATACAGACATTATACTTTACTTTACAGTTCCTTCTTGAATACCACAATATTTATACAACAACCCCCTCTTTCACAATGGACATCCTTCCCTTCCATTCATCTCCCCTCCCTCTTAGTATACTCTCCTTCTTTACAGGGATGTCTCAACTCATAGCAGTTTTGTTGTTTTTCTCTTAGTTGTTAATCTTTAATCCTTTATTCCCTCTATCCACCACTCTACTATTCTAAATCCTTTTGATGGGGGTCTACTGAAATTGTCTCTGGTATCTGGGGAGCCCATCATCCCTTCCTTACCCCACCCTTCTTCTGCTATGTGCTCTGATTTAAATTGTGTTGTGTGCTAAATATTTTAGTTATAATAAACTTTTATGATGTTAAAGTGTAATTTAGGGTTGCACAGATTCCAAGTACAGTACTCGGTACAAGTATGAGTACATGTACCAATACTTTTGAGCTCCAAGACTACACTAGAGACGAATTCAAAAATTAGGAGGCAGCTGTCATTTGTTAGGAGCACACAGAGCTCCTGGGATTTGTACATCTCTGTTTTAATGTATGATTTTGTTTTTATAAATATAAATAAGGGGATGCACAGATACCAGTTTTGCGAGTACGAGTACTGGTACTTGCCGAGTACTTACAAGTACGAGTACTGATACATTTTTGTTTATTGTCATGTGACAGTTTTTCTAAAACAATACAGACTAATGATTACAGGACAGTGGTGGAGAGCCAGAGCCAGCTGCAACCCTGGTAGTTCTCATGAACTACTTCTCATGAAGGTAGTTCTCATAGTCCCTCTATTACTAATGTGGTTAAGTGTCTTGTGATCCTCAAAATCTAATCACTCTGGCATATGACATATATCAATTATAAGCCCAAAACAATAAGGCAGCAAATTGGATGTTTGCCCAAAGAGCTTGCAATCAGAATTGAAGTACAGTTTCCTAAATTACCCCAATCTTAACCTATGCAGTTTGACAAATTTCCCTTTTCTGTTAAATGCAGAAGCTTCCAATACACTGACACTATGGGGGTGATTTACTAACCTAAACACACGCACGCACCAGGTGCGTGTGATTTTCACACAGCAAAACGTATTTATCAACCAAAAAGTCTCTAAAAGCATATTTCCACTAATGCCATATATGGAAAAATCATGCACATGATGCATATATAATGCTGCTTCACAGTTTAGACAAAAATGGTTAGCTCATGCATTTACATTCCTGCATTCATCAACGCAAGCAACACAACATAGAGCTAATTTACACAACATTACCTTGCAATTCATGCAGGGCTTTGCACAACACACCTGCTGGGTGTGTACACACTACAAAGGTGTCTAGATTCCACCAATAGATCATGCTGGGAGGGAACACACTACAGAGGTGTATACATGTTCGTGGCGTGTTTATAAGGTTAGTAAATCAACCCCTATGACTGCTTTATACTCCTCTTTTTATAGTTACTGTACTGGAACATAACAAAGCCCCCATTTTCTGTCCCTAATAATCCAATTGACCCAAGTTCAAATAACTTTGCAGTGCATCACTGTTACAAACAATTTAGCAGCCAGATTCCTGCATTAGTTCACCAGTACCTCAAACAGTCTGGGTTCACCTTGAACGAGTGCTAGACACAAATCCATACCTCATTTCTACTGCTCTCCCAGCCACCAAAAGTATTTGACTTGACATGACTACTCCATGCTGTGGTGTCTCCTGCCAGCTTGTACGCTTTGTAGTGAGTAATGATGAGACTGGGCTAGGTGTGAACTCCAATCCGACCCAATCAGGTTCGGAAAGGCACATTCCCCACCCTCTGCTATACCTCACAAATAGGTGGGGAAAACCCCTGTCGCAACTACCACCACCGATTGGGTCAGGATCAGATGGTCAGAGTTTTGAGCAGGCTAGGGTGAATTCAAGTGTAAATGGACAGACCCAGATGTCACAATGGCTCCAATCAGCAGGGCTCCATGCACAGATCCCCTGCGGTTCGTTTTGTGACTTTTCTTTCTTTTCAAAGTGCAAGGGCTGCAGTTGCCACCATTACTAACTACTGGCACATCTGCTGGCCTGCCACCATTACCAGCTCCTACAATCTCTCCTAGCCTGCTGCTGACATCATTACCAGATCCTACCACCTTTTTTGGCCTGTCGTTGCCACCATTACTAGTTCCTGCCATTTCTCTTGACTTGCCACCATTATCAGCTTCTGCCACTGCTGCTGGCCTGCCACCTCCTGTCACCTTTCCTGGCCTGTTGTTACCACAACTTCAAGCTCCTGCCACCTTTGCTGTCCTGCCACCATAAACAGCTTCTGCCACCATTACCAGCTCCCGCCACTGCTGCTGGCCTGACACCATTAACATCTCCTCCCACCTCTACGGGACTTTACCAGATCCTGCCAACTTTTATGGCCTACCATCTACTAGCTACTGTGGCCTCTCCCACCCTATTCAAGTTCTTCAGCAATGTAAAGGTGCCACACATAATTTTTGTGTAGGTGGGCCTCACCTGCAAAATTTCTAATGTTTTCTGCAGCCAAAATCCTGTGTTATGCCTTAAAGGCTGTGGCCTATTCCATTGATCATGCACTATAAAACTGGCCATAAACTATGCAAATTCACACAGAAGGTGCCCCGGTGGGCACCCTTCCACCCAGCATCCCTGTATCAGAAGATTGAAGGAGCCAGATGGAAAATCCACAGCAAAACCCTGCTTGCAGCCAATCAGATGTAATCATCATTCGAGTTTTCTGACAATGGCCTCTGCTGTCAGTATACAATTGAAACAACACGGAATTCCTCTATCCACGCTGCTTAGTGTGGATGGAAGAATCTGTGGTTTTTTTCCATTTAGCTACAAGGCTGAAGGAAAAAACAGTACAGTGTATAGCTGGCTTAAAGGTACCACACATAATGTTTCCAATGTTGGGCCCCAGCTACAAAATTTGCAATGTTTACTGCAGGTAAATAATAATCTGTGTCTCCTAGTTTGTGGCTTATTCCATTTTTCCAGCATTCAAAAATAATTATGGCTATTGTCTCTCTGAAATAATACACTATCATTTGTATTTATTTGGAAAAAAACTGACTAATTTCTCCCTTTCACATTGAGGCCTAAATCTGCCTTTTCACTCCCTCCTAAATTGCAGCCTAACAAAAAAGGAGTACATACTATACAGCAAAGCTGCACAACTTTTCCATCTTTTGTCTCAGAAAAAGGCAATGTACTTTTTTATTTCCAGATGTAATCTGCCTTCTCACTCCCTTCTAAAGTGGAATCTAGCAAAAAAGGAGTACATACAATGCAGCAAAGCAGAACATATTTTCTGCACTTTTTGTTTCCAGACTAGATCTAACTGCTTACTAGCTACGAAGTTGCATCCTGGCAAAAAAAGTACTGTGCAGCAAAACCTGACTTAGGAAAAAGACAAAAGCGTTGATGTGCACTGGCAATGTGTGTTGGGGTTCCATTCGAAATGAAAGGTACTACAACTCACTAAATTATAGATTGTGTGTTACCACAACACATAGGTGTGAAAGCAGTCTCAATGCTTTACTGAAAGACAGTAAAGTGACAAATATCAATACTATGCTAACAAAGCTAACGGGGTGAAGGAAGAAATGCTGCAGCATTGTTTTGAGGAAAAAAAATACCATGCATCAGTGGTGTCACTGGAAAGGAAAAAAATCTCCTGCATTGGTGGTGTAAGTGGAAGGAAAAAATGCAGCTGCATCGGTGTCAATGGGAGGAAAGATATTGCAGTGTCAGTGTCAATTTAAAAAAATGCCATATTGTTGGTGTCAGTGCAAGAAACAAAAAGTTGCTGGATAGGTGTCAGTGGAAGTAAAATGCTTCTGCATTGGTTATATTAGTCTGAAGTTTCTTACTCATTTGGCTATATTTGAAAACTAGATGAGAATAGTTTAGGT